AGCAAGTGAACCGGCACTAGAAAGCAGTTGCCTGCGGGGTTGCGAGATCGTACTATTCTGCCTGGATCCTAAATTGTTTCTTGTGAATAGCTTTTCCCAAAGATCGCAATTCCGTGGATGTCTCGTAAAGTGAAAGACTCCAGCAACATTCGGAATAATCTTACGCTATCTACAAGGTTATTCATCAAATAAACAGGTGGAATAGTATTCGGAGATAGATTTTGGACATCCAAGGTGAGAGCTCTATAAGTTTTTGTCGTTAATCTAACCAACAGTCGTATCGCTCCAATGCTCAGGATAAAATCCAGAGGAATCCAACTACTCTGGATAAAATCTAGAGAACTGCATTTATGCAGATTCTGATTGGTTCCATCTGTTTACCATACCAGTAGTCATACACCGCGAGTCGTCCGTCATATTTGACGTCGACACCCCCTATTTTCATCCGTTGGAGCATACAATACTGCATGCTACCTCTGGTGCCAGGGCATAGTTGTTTCTTAGGGCAAAATATTTCCCCATATTTTCCAAAGTATAGCTTTTTGTCAAATTTTTGTCAAACTTTGCTCCTACCGGTTCCCTAATAATAATAATAATAATAATACAGGAAATATTGGCAACACGACGTTGGAAATGCAGAAGGTCGAGTGCGAACTGTATTGGAAGCATGCGACCAGTTGAGACTGGCGCAAGGTCTTGTAGATATGAACTTGTCATGGGGAGGACTGGCTCGTGAGATGATGACGTACGCCGCTGAGGTGTGTCCTGGTGCAGTGATCATGGTAGTTGGCAACGACTGGAGCTATCCGATGGCTACGGCGACCAAGATGTCGTGTTCCGTGCTGAGCAAAACGCCCGAAATCGCTCGAAAGTTGAGGGCAGGAAGCGAATCAACGTGGCCTCATCCATGCTGGCCTATGGAGCCAAGATGAAAGTATTTAGCGTCATGTTTCTCGAGTTTCCTCTAGACGCACGCGATGTTTTGAAACGGTTAGCAGAAGCACAATGTTACGGTACATCACAAAATAACTGCTTTGTTTAACGTTAAGACACCCAATTTTTTTTTCGTGAAACTGCTATTTTTGTGTTAAGATTTGGTAGCAAAACATCTCATTGGTCAAAAATCAATGAGTCACTAAGTTGTGTAAGCGCTGTGTGCCGTGATGTGATTTGAAAGTTACTTGTACTAGAAGCAATTTTTTTTTTGGGACGGATTAATCTGTACGAGGCTGTCCACACAGCTCTTCTAGCTGTTCTCCCAGGAATTGCTTTATTGCAGTATCAAGATCGTCAACAATAATTACTACAATTATTGTATTTGTTTTCGTACGATCCTGCTGGCGCAACGTTATGGAGCACCTCGGTCCACATGTAGCCCTTGGATCTCAGGATACGAATGACCTTTGAAGTACACTGATAGAAGCGGTGAAGGCATCAGAGACTCTGTACTATTACACTGAGCGAACAACTCCTTGTATCAAATATTTAGGCCGTGTTTAAGCTGAAAGTCATTTTCACTAAATTGTGATTTCCCTGAGATAGCACAAAAAAAACGAATTTTCGTGCCAAGCAAGATCGCATTTCCACAGCTGTCGTTTTCGAAATCAAACTACACCTTGGCGTGACAAACATAATAACACAAACGGTGTCTTTCTTCGTGCATACCTTTCAGTGGTAAGCCAGGGCGGCTGCTCTTGTGGTTAATTCTAGTCGGAACGATGAGTAGAGAAACTTGTTTAGCTGGATGCAAATGGCAAAATGTGATTGAATAAAGCATGTAAGCTGGCCTTACAATTCACTGAGCACTGATGAATCGTTTTACTATCACAATGGCCTCATCCTCCCGTCTCATTGCTTGTACAGCCCCTCACCCGTGGTGATGAGGGCCTCGCTGGTGTTGCTAGTATAGCACTCGTCTGAGCGTGATCGGAGGTCCAGCTCCTCGACCTTGACGGTGTCGACATTAGCACGTAGTTGAACGTGTTGCACGATATTCCGGTTAGCACTGAAACTTTCTCCAACGGGTCGCCTTACCATGCTCTCCACGTACACCTTCTTAGCTATCGTCAATTCAGGGAAATCCCGTGCCTTGCATCATGGCGCCTCCGGGTCTTGAGGTTTCATCTCTTCAGAGGCGCATTCCAGGTGTGGGACAGTGCTCACAGTTGTGATTAGCTCTGAAAATCCGATTATTGTTTGATAATCGCAATATTTGATCAGCTCGAACACTCGTTTAGTTGCACATTTTCAGCATTGCGTACTAAGAATCATGGAGGTTTTTTGGAGTCGGTGTGTTCGCCAGCACGGAAAACACTTAACAGCCTAACAGCATTTTGAGTTGCCCCGCAGAGCAGCACTGCGTAGAATAGCAACGTTAGTGGTCAAGGAAACGAAGAAGAACACTTCAGCAGTAGGTTTCGCTTGGAAATTGATTAATTATCTATACTTGCACGTGGTACAAATGTAGCACGACGAGGAAAGTTAACAGACGTAAAA